TATCTAACCGAAGATCGTAGATTCGAACCCGGTTCGTGCCATTGACTTTTTTATCTCAACCAAAAAACCTTAATTAATTGGAATCTATTAAAGACTGTTAAGTTGGTTTTATAATGTTTTATGTTCATACATAAAAGTGATTTTTTCTTTTTTTAATTAATTTTTTGTTTTTGAGAGATATTTTTATTTTCCCATTAACCAAATCTTGTAACAAATACCTGAATTATAAAAAAAATTATATTATTATTTTTTTTTCCACGAGGGTTCGCAATGGCAGAGGTCATATAAAACCTCAGGGTGCCAGTGTTTTTGAAAAAAAGCCCATTTGTAAGTATGTCGTGTTCGAATTCAGGGCCGCTGGATTTGAACCCGGGACCTTTACCTTACAGTGATGAGCGCCGTGTCAACACCTAAACTGTTGTGGCCACCGACGCCCCCCAAAAAATTATATAATTACTGACAAAGCAAGTACATAAAAAAATTTCATAATTTCTAAGTGCGCCACTTTTTTTTATGGAGTGTATTTTCTAGTGGAGTGACTTAAAATTACATTATAATTTTTTGTTTTATTTTCAGGGATGTCTATTGTAAAAAAAAACATCAAATTGTTTACCACAACTGGAACTAGGTGTTGAAAAACTTCTCAAAATGTATGCTGAAGAAAGTTAATCTTTTTAATAGATTTTAAAATTTTTTGACAAGTTTTGTCAACACTTTGTTCCAGATGTGGTAAACAATGCACTACATGTTTTGTTGGGCAACAGTGACCCAAGAAAAACCAAAATAAAATTATTTTTAATATAATTTTCAGATATTACGAAAAAAAGGAGCGAAACACTGTGAATAAAGAATAAAAAGCGAAAAAAACATCTAATTTTTCTGGATGAATAATCCCAGTCTACACCACTGTTAATAATTTATGTTAAGCACACATTTCATTCAAAATAATAGTTTAGGACAACTAAACAAAAGATTTAATAGTTTAAAAAGATTGGATACTTATAGTTTTTCTTTTACCATATTTTTCTTCAGAAAATTTTGGTACAAAAACAAAGTACAGCCAATGGTATCAGGACCATTTTAATAATTATCAGTACTATATCATAACTACCAAAAAATTGCAAATCACTTGATCAATTGATTTAAAAAAAAAAAAAATGAATAAAAGAGTAGTAAATTTCACTCAAAATAACAGTTTAGGACAACTAAATAATAAAAGATTTAATAGTTTAAAATAATAAAAAGAGTTTGGATACTTATAGTTTTTCTTTCACTATATTTTACTTCAGAAAATGTAACAATTTTGATACAAAAACAAAATATAGCCAGTGAAGCTCATCATCTTGCAAAAAAAATCTGTAATGGTATCATGACCATTTTAATAATTATCAGTACTATACCGTAACTGTACCATAAAATTGTGACTCCCTTGATCAATTGATAAAAAAAAAAAAAAAAAAAAAAAAAATGAATGAAAGAGTAATAAATACTCTCATTTTACCTCCATCCTTTGTAAGTGTAAAAAATTGAAATTCTCCGACGGACGACCCTGCAATATTCTGCGCTTCAACTTGAAGGTTGTATTCGGTTGCAGATAAAAGGCCGGTGACTGTGAATTTCTTTTGGGGTTTTACATTATTTGACACTGAAAAATTTCAAAAAATGATTTATTTATATTTTATTTTTATACTATGGAAATTACCGAGGATCCACTCAAGATCATTGACATTCTTGTAGCGTACTACAAATGACAGAATTGGACAGCCGTTGTCAGGCCAGACTTGCAATTTGAGAATCACCGAAGTAGAATTGGCTTGGAGAAAAGTTGATGGGGAAGGCACCCCGGGAAACTGTCCTTGGGTTCGCACTGGGAGGCTCGGACTTGGCTGAGAAGGGCCTAACTTGTTAAATGTGCTCAAAGAAATAGAGTAAGTACTGCCGCATGAAAGTCCCTAAAACGTGTTTTTATATTAATAAAATAAATTAAAACAATTAAAGAAAATATACTTTCAACTCGTAGCTTGTCGTTCGCCTTGAGAGTGGTATTTCTTGAGGGTCAGAATGTGTTTTTTTATAATAAAGGGTGTATCCGAGAATAGGCGCTGCACCGTTATCTCCTGGTTTCCAATGAAGAAGCACGCTGTTACTTGTTGCACTGGTTACATATAAAATCGGTGGGCTGGGAGGAACTGTAAAATTGCGTACAATTTACATAAAAATTCAATGTTTTATGACATCGACATACCTTGCACAATTAATGTATAATAAATCCGATCAGATCCAATTCCATTGTCGGCATGACATGTATAATTATCTGTATCAGATCGAGAGAGGTCGGCAACAACAAGCTCACCGGATTCCAACACTTGCAGATTATTGCTTGGCAAATTCTGAAGTGCAATGTCGTTTTTGTACCATTGTCTTCTTGGCACAGGTATTCCAACGGTAGCGCATGGCATCGCTACAGTTTCATGCCACGGCCTCCGAACGACTTGATGGAATGATGAGATTCTTGCAGGGACTATTATTTAAACAAATAAAATAAATAAACTATTGAGTGTGACTATAACAGTTTATGGTACCTCTATTGCTCGGAACTTGAGCTACAACCCTGGAGCTAGGCCCTTCACCAACTCTAGTTGATGCAGTTACCCAGAACTGATATTCAACATGGTGCTGTAGACCCTTTGCTTCGTAGCTGTTATGAACAGCAGGAATCATTCGTTTGCTGTGGTTTAGCTCAGATTGTCCATCAACAACTCTGCAAATTTTAGGTTTTAAAATTGGGTCGAAACATCACAAAATTTGACACTAAGGCAATATTTTGGTTAAGAGTTGGGAATTAAATTCATAAGAAAATCCTACCTTGTATACAGAGTATACTTTGAAATGATCCCATTTGGTAGATGAGGAGGTAGCCAAGAAACTAGCAAAGATTGTGGACTGCTCACGACGACTTTTATATCCCCTGGGGAACCTGGCACTAAAAAGGAGGTGTATAAAATGAATGACCATTGTCTCATACTTTAAGCCAATTCTGTTAAATAATGACAAGAATTAAATTTTTGAATAAAGTATTTTCATTTTGAAACATGAAATTATCCGACAAATTACGATCGACAAACAAAATATGAAATGTGAACAGAACTGTTTAAACATAATGGTTATTTTTGTTTAATTTCTTTGAATATTTTTATATATATTTAATGTGATTAAAGTATCAAGTAAATTATCAAAAATTCATGGTGATTCTGGTGGTTAAAGTATCAAGGTATGATTCTCTCTTATTTATTAATGATATCCATCTTGCTCTTCCTTCTGCTCAATTTTTATTATTTGCTGATGATCTGAAAATCTATTCCATAATCACTTCTCCTTCCGATTGCTTACAATTACAAAATTCTATCAATAATGTGCTAACCTGGTGCTCTAATAACAAACTTGCTCTTAATGTTTCCAAATGCTACACAATTACATTCTCTCATAAGAAACAACCTTTTATTTATCTCTATACTCTCCATGATGCTCTTTTAACGCGAGTTGAGGTCGTAAAGGATCTTGGTGTACTTTTTGATCAAAAGCTCAAGTTTAAAGAACATATTTCTTCAATAAAAAATAGATCTATGAAGATGCTAGGTTTCATCATCCAGAACACCTATGAATTTAAAAATCCTCTATGTTTTGTCCATCTTTATAAAGCTTTTGTACAACCCATACTAGAATATGCTACACCTGTTTGGAACCCATTCTATCTAAATTATCAAAAAATTCTTCAATCTGTACAAAACAAATTTTTAAAAAAACTTTCCTACAAACTCAATCTTCCTCCGAATTCTGCCTACCCTGGAATCTGCTCTGAATTTAAACTTTTCAAACTGGCACTAAGAAGGGATTACTTTGATATTGTTTTTGTAGTCCTTATCTCCTCTCTCAACTACAGCTACATGTCCCTTCGTACTCTCTTAAAACTTATAAATTATTTTATATTGAATTCCAAAGCTCTAACTACATGCTCTCTTCTCCTCTGCACAGAATGATGATCAAGAGTAACAACATCTGCAAAAGCATTGACTTCTTCAATAGTTCTGTGCAATCCGTAAAAAACCTTATCCTACAACCTTAGTTGAATGCTTTTATATTTCATACTGTACAAAATTATTACAATTTATTTCATTTACTGGTTCAACTAATTCTTGCACTCTAGTCTTATATATTTACAAAGAGCATTATTTTCATTAAATATGTATCTAATTATTGTAGTTTCAATTGTTCAAGTTATTGTTCAATTCAGCTTTATTTTGTTTTCTCTGCCTTATTTGGTTAGTAATTATATCTTTCATTTTTGTTGTTCAGTTTTTACTCTTTAATTGTATTTTTATATTTATCATTTATATTATTACCATGTATATACGTCCTTATTCTTTTGATATATATTATTTGTATTTTTATTTTTTGTTATTGTAAAATGTCTTTTTTATAGTGGATTTTGATCCGTAAATAAATAAATAAATGATGTTTGTTGATTGACCTAAAGATAATCCATGTGGAGTTTCAATCTTCATGGAGGTCAGTAGATAGGCGAAGGAAGGAAAAGACTAATTGTTGGGTTCACCAAGCTTTCGGCAACTTATAGCGCCATCATCAGGTCTTCCCCTAGAGTGCAGAAAATGATTAACATGGTAAAACTATAGTATGGACGTCTTGGGTTTTAGGTTATGAAGCACATGGCCAGCAAATTACATTAAACAAGGTGAAAAACAGTCATCTCGCTAATAAAATCCATATGATTGTGGTTTCAACAATTTTGTTCTGACTAGCAATTTTCTTATAAGTAATATCCCATATAAAAGTAATATCACAGAGTGTGTATTGAATTATAGCTATTTATAAACAATTAATTAAGGTTTTTAGTTGAGATAAAAAAGTCAATGGCACGAGTGGGATTCGAACCCACGATCTTCGGCTAGATACGCCACTGCTCTACCACTTGAGCTAGCGTGACCTCGATCCACTCGGACACTAACTTCCCATCTCAACCCCACCTTTTGAATTTTCCCTCCTTTTTTGCCATTTTTGCTATTTATAAAGACTGTACATAGGATTAAAATTAATGGGAGAGAGAGAGCGACGAACATTGTCGCCTCAGGTTAGACTGTTGAAACCACAATCGGATTTTATTAGCAAGATGACTGTTTTTCACCATGTTTAATGTAATTTGCTGGCCATGTGCTTCATAACCTTAAACCCAAGACGTCCATACTATGGTTTTACCATGTTAATAGTTTTCTGCACTCTTGGGAAAGCCCTGATGATGGCACTACAAGTTGCCGAAAGCTTGCTGAACCCAACAATTAGTCTTTTCTTCCTTCGCCTATCTACTGACCTCCATGAAGACTGAAACTCCACATATATCAGGGTGCAATTCCGAAGACTGTGGGTTTAAATGCCAACCATTTTTATCTCCAATTTCATATATTTATGCAATTAAATATATATAAATAGTAGAACTGAATAAACTCTGAAAAACGATGGAAGGTAATTAATATATTTTTACATCCAGAGTTGGGTGTGAAAATGTTGAGCTCATAAAACAATAAAATCACCAAAACCAGCCTTGATTTTTTTTTTAAATTACTTATTGTCAATGTATTTTGACCTAGGAGCTAGAATCGTATTTCATTATAGACATTAAGAGCACAGATGTGGCACAGGCTGAATGGCAATAATTGCCAATTTTCACAACATTGGATATAAAATGAAATTAAGAAAAAAAGAAGACAAACCAAGAAGGAATTAAAAAGGAATTGTAATTAGTTGAAATATTTGTTTAAAAAATAATTACCAGCTACATTGTATATATACTGTAGTATAATGTGTACATGTATACATTTGCTAAGAATGTGTAAGTTTAAATAATTAATATTTCATTTACCATCTTCATCGGTATGGCAGTAGGTAATTTTAGTAAAAGGCCCATCACCAACCCGTGTGAATGCAAGAACTTGCATCGTATAGTTTGTATACCTTTGCAGCCTCGGTAGAATGTAAGTCAACGCTGATGTTTTTATCGTTTCCATTCCAACATCAATCTCTGAAATTTTTAACATGTTAATTACGGGTAATTTTTACAATACGACGAGATTATCCTACCTGGGTTTTGAGTGTCATATTGGAGTTTGTAGCCGAGAATTATACCGTTGCAATGCGGCGCTGGTGGAGGCTGCCAAGAAACCTGAAGAGACTGGGAGCTTAATGCTGTACAACGTAGAACTTCTGGTGGTGCACTAGGAACTTTAAAAAAAATTAAACTTACTAGATACTTAAATTTTTAAAAATAATTAATTGTTTGTATGCCTTGTAAGTAACTTAATATAATGTTTATTTAGTCTTGAGTTACCATCTTCTAAGGTTTGTGCTGAGACAGGTTCTGAAAGAGGACCTCGACCAACTTGGTTGAAAGCTTGAACAACAATCGTATATCTCGTATACTGTGCCAACCCTGTCAAAACTAATTCTCCAGTTCCATCTTCACCATCACCTGTTACAGCTGTCATGTTGTAGTTCCCATTCACCATACTGAAAAAGCAAATGTCGAGGCTTAACCTTATCTCAAATGCTATTTAAGTGTGCATACTTAATTTCCTTGTATCCAACATAGTATCCCTGAATATCACCATGCCTCAGTTCAGCTAGAGGAGGCGTCCAAGTCACCAGGAGTTTAGAAGAAGAAATTGGCCTGACTGAGATACCGAGAGGAGGACCAGCCGGCCTCTGAGGCTCTGTTGTCACCCAGAGATCAGCACTCCAGCCGGATCGCCCAGCCGGACCTTCGGCCGCTACTTTCATTATGTATTTTGTCGCTGGTTTTAAACCTTCGACCAAAGCACCTCGAAGCTGCCCGCTAAGCTCTACCTGCTTCCACGGTGTTGCTAAACACAAACAGAGAATTTATTTGTTTGTATGGATTTTGTCATATTTTTGTCGTGTGACAAAAATATTTTAAGCTGACGTACCAACTGCTTCTTTATACTGGATGATATATTTCGTAACTTCTGTTGGTTCTCCGGTTTGGTGTGCCCACTGCAAATTAACAGATCTGCTGTTTACCATAACAGCTTTAAGTTCACTTGGTTTTTCAGGTGGCTCTGAAATCACATTGCCGTTTAATTATACTAATCCATATCATAGCATAATAGGTTAAATATATTACATAATATAACAGAAATAGTTTATTTCCATTTGCCTTACAAATTGAAATACAAAAGCCAGTGACACGAGAGTGATTCGAACCCATGACCTTCGGGTAAATACGCTGCTCTACCACTTGAGCTATCGTGACTTCGATCCACTCGGACAGATGTTCCCATCTTTACTCATGGGTGTTGTGATCCATGAGGACGTCTGGACTTATCCCCGAGGGGATTTCTCAGATGCCCAATGTTCTCTTTGAGAACCAGGAAGAATGCATGCATGGACTTTCACATCCCTTGGCTAGCGAGGTGGTGCAATGCTAACCAAGTTCAGAAGTGTCCTAATAAGGGCACATCCATACATGTGCCTTGAAAAAGGCAGTTTTGTGGTTTTCCGGCACGGCCTTTCAGCTGTGCCTTTCAACACCTCCGGAGAGATAGAGAAGGTTCACTCCGGTTGGCCGGTATCCTCCAGCTAAGGTACAATTTGTTTGCAAACCACGACCACCACGAGTCCAACCTCAATTAGTAGAGCCGCTTGGATGCTCCACTCCCGTAGTTCAGTATTATTTTTAAGGTGGGACTGATCGCCCACCCGGGAGTTCATACGAACCCTCTACTGATGCACCCATTGCCTGAGGGGTACGGGTTCAGTAACCCAGGAAGCCTCTGCCAAAGCAGAGGGGGGAGGGGAAGGAAAAAGTAAAGGGTAAGAAAGGATAAGGAAGGTAATAGGGAATTTTGCCTTCCTCATTGGCTACCCGTAGGCACCGGAGCTGATGGTAGGGCTTGCCTAGGCCCATGGGAATGTTACCCTACGGGATGTCCACTCGGAAACAACGTGTCAACTCCTACAACCTTTCCAATTTTCCCTCTTTTTGCCAAGCCGAAGGTCGTGGGTTCGATTCCCGCTCGTGACACACACAAAAACAAGACCTTAAATAAAAGTAACTAATGGAATTAATTAATATGGTCAATTATGACCGCTAAACATATATTTATTTGTAGTTTGATCAGCCCTGACAAGGTTAGCTTAAGTTTTGGGCAGATATGCTAAAGTCAACTGACAAAGTTACAGCAAGGATCAGGATTTTTCGATCTTATAGAACTTGTAGAAAAGGAAAAGATTGATTTTGAAAAAAATGCCTGCTAGAATAATTGACTTATTTTTCTGGTTAGTGCCTGTATGAAGTGAAGAAGAACAATTACTTGAAAAAGTTAAAATAATTTTTAATTACCTTGAACTGTCAGTTGAACTAGCTGCTGATCTCTGCCGTAAATGTTGGTCGCTTGGCAGAAATACGGTCCAGCGTCTGACGCTTCGACGGCCGCGATGTGCAGTTGACCGAGGAGGACTCCTTCAGGCGTCATTTCTTGTTTTAAACTAACCCTGCTCAAAAGTTCGTTCAATTTGCAAAACTTCTTGAATTCTGGTTGGCGGAGAAGAAGGAGAAAGGGGGAAAAATCGGAAGCAATTTTCACGTTTCACAAACCTGTAATTTGTTGCCGGAGTTAGGGGAAATTTCCCCTGCTTGTGCCACCGAATGCTGATCGGCGTGTCGCCGTGAATTCGGCAAATGAGCACGGCTATGTCGCCCTTTTTGACTGTTAACGTCTTCGCCGGACCGGAGAAATAAGGGGCGGCTGTAATAACAATAATAATCAAAAAAATAAACAAACGAAAAATATAGGAAGTTAAGTGGTTTTTTGTTCATTTTGTTGGTGACGACTTACAGTTCACTTTTAACTGGATCACTTTTCCAATTCCGTTTCCGATCCCGTTGTGGGCTTGGCATAAATAAAACCCTTCTCTGTCCTCCTTCACATTTTGCAACAATAGCGATCCGTTGTTGAACACTTTGGTGTACATCCGATCTCGAACTTCTTCGTAATCGCCCGATTTGCTACCTATTTGGATCGGGAAGTCAACAATCATTATGAAAAATAAATTTGGCCAGAACCCTTGGCACATTTTGAAATAAAAACGTTAAACATTAGTAACGAATAATCTAAATCTTGGTACGGTCTGGATGAAAAAAACAAAATAAATTCACTTGTCTGAAAAGCTTTCGACCTTTTTTAAGGTCATCATCAGAGCATAACAATCTTAAACATGTCTACAATTATGTTTTAAGTAGATGGTTTCAAATTTCTCTAAAGTCCGATCAGTCCCAACTGTGACAGACCTTGGCAATGTTGGAACTGATAATAATAATAAATCAATTCTATTTAGTGGTCCGAATGACCAAATTACTTATTTCAATTAATTAATCTTTTTGTGTAAGGTCTTGGTTGAGTTGAAAAGTTAGTGTCATGAGCGGGATTCGAACCCACGACCTTGGGCTCAATTCGACGCTGTTCTAACCACGTCAGCTATCGTGACAAGTGGTTAGAGCAGCGGCGTATTGAGCCGAAGGTCGTGGGTTCGAATCCCGCTCGTGACACTAACTTTTTCATTTCAACCAAGACCTTACATTAAAAGATTAATTAATTGAAAGAAATAATAATAAAGCAATATTATAATAATGTGAACATTAATGTATTCAATAAAGTGATGAGAACATAATAGTTCTAATGATGATAATAATAATAATAATTAAAGGAGTTACTAGGCCCCCAGAGTTTGTTTTCAAGAGCACTTTTCAACTTTATTAAATTTAATGGATTTTGGAATTTGTAATGAGATTTAGGTCTTTTCCCAAATTCTTATACCTTTGACTGTTTCTGCTAGTGTTTGATTGAGAGTTCTGCGTGCAAGATTTCTTTCTTTATCCAGGAATGAAACAAAAGAAAATACGAATTGCGGAGTAATAAACAACGATGCCAGAAATCGCAATTAAAAAAAAATTAATTAAAAATAATGAGAGAGAGGATAAAGAAAAAGAAGTGTTATTGTGTTGTTATTTTATTTTGCTTTTTCAACTATATGTTTTTTGAATGAAAACTTAGAGACTAGAGTGACTCTCAAATACTTGTCCTCATTATTTTGACCCTTTTGTTCTGGTATTTCCAGCTTTCATCCTCACTAAGTCTACCTCCATTGCGAAATACCAAAATTTTTGATTTCTCCGAGTTGACTGTCAACCCCCAAAGTTTGCAGTACGGATTCTTGCTTGTCGAGTTTATATTAAGATCTTCTGGGTTTTCCGGATAACAATCTGCATATAGCAAAAATATGTGCTCTGTTCAGCACATCTACAAGATCGTTTTTATACAGGGAAAACATAATAGGGCTTAAAAGACATCCATGCCCATGTTGGGACTATATCGGCCTTCAAAGAAATTTGACAAAAAACAAAACAATAAACAGCTCTATGAAATTTAATATTTAATTTAGTTTTAATTTATTATTTAAAAGGTTTTTATTGGACGTAAGAAAGAATTGAAAGTTGCCCAGGTTGATTTTTACCGCGTTACAAACTAAAATATAAGTTCTTGCAGTATTTTCTTGAAATCTGCTTTTATTAGGAGTTGGATTTGAAGGAAATGACCGTTTCGTTTTCAGAAAACAGTTCATATCGAAGGATTCCACTTCCATCTGGAGTAATTTAGGAGTGATTAAGCGAAGTTCATTTGACTTCACGAAGCCGCCTACTTTTCAGTTCTCATTTCTCTGGGCTAATCTTTTGAAATAAAACAAATCGCAAATGTAAACGTTGTCACCCTGATTTCTAGGACTCTAATTAGTCCTAGAAGCGAGAACAGAAACTGCTGACGGGCCCAAGGTTCGGTAAATTGGTAGACAAAAACTGCAAATTGAGCTGCTATTTCTTCCTACAGCACATCTTTGAAATACTGTATTCTCTTTCATATCTGTTTTATTATGATTACTCTTATTTTGATAATAAAATTGTATTAAATATTTCTACTTAAACTTAGTTTCTTCCTTGACCCCCTGGGTATACACTCGGCGAAGCCTTAGGGAGGGCAGGGATGACTGTACAGGCAACTGGACGTTTCTGCCCTTGATTTTTCCGGCAGTAATCGTCTGGTCCTATTACCAAGTTATCTACCCACTATACCTCTACCGAGGTAGTTCTTGGAACTTATTGTTAGACAGAGGTAACTTCGTGAACTCGTGTTCGCTACCGCCGCACTGTAGCGTTTACATGTAATTGTACGCGATTCAGCAATAGCTTGAGCGGATTCGAGGTGATGGTCGCTCTGCCTTCTTCAATGTGGTTACGGTCTGTGATAGTTTCTCCGTCGACGCACTCTTGTGCTCATGTAGCTTCTCGGCAAAAAGATCGTTATTGTCTTCGTGGCCGGACACATAGGAGGGTAACAAACCGGAGGCTAAGAGCGGCACGTACCTTCGGACTTGAACCACCGAAACCCTGACGCTAAAAACACAATAAAAAACCATGTTTAAATAGAGTGACGGTCTCGGCAGAGAGCTTAGGCGTATCAAGAGCACTGTTGGTAAATAGAAGAAGAGTCACCTTCACTCGATTAAGGATAGGCCATGCCAGGTTGACACACATCTACTTACTTTTGGACCAAAACTCCGCATATAAGTCCGCCATGTAGGGAAAGCTTGCTCGATGTGTACCACATAATTGAAGGGCGCAACTCTTTGGTTCCATATAGAGAGCGTGTAGGAATGCTTCCCGATATGATAATTGTGTTTGAGCAGGACCAATTCTTGTAGAAACAGGGTTGTCTCATTTATATAGTACTTATAGTTTTATGTCCCTAGCCTGTGTTAAGAGTGAATGTATTTATTAGCGAGAATATGGAGAGAGGTGGAGGATTATCTACTACTTTACTACCCTAACTGAGTGAATGGAATATAAATAGGAAAGAATGTATTTAATAGTGAGTAAGTGTGTGAATGGGAAAGTAATTCATTGGGGGCTGAAATTCCTAGCTGTTGATAGCACCTGTGGTAGGACATATAAGACCGATATATTCATATTTTTTAGTTAACTAAATTTAAATTGTCAATATTATAGAATGAAATTTAGAGGGAATTTTAATTAATTAAGGTTTTAGTTGAGATAAAAAAGTCAGTGTCACGAGCGGAATTCGAACCCACGACCTTCGGCTGGATACGCCGCTGCTCTACCACTTGACCTATCGTGACCTCGATCCACTCGGACACTAACTTCCCATCTCAACCCCACCTTTGAATTTTCCCTTCTTTTTGCCATTTTTTAGAGGGAATGTTTTATCATAGGTTACAGCGTACGAAAACTTAACTATCTAAAAGTTTTGATCAGAATACAATATCAGATGCTAAACAAATCAAAGTCGGCTTAATAATTTCATTACATTTTAATAGGAAATGACGGGAGGAAGATGTCAGGTCTAAAACAACATCTGATCTGATAAAGATTAAATAATCCAAAATACCATAGTCAAAAAAATTAACTGGAGCTTTTATATTTTATACGCCTATGTTTTTGTTTCTCTGTTGGCAGTAAACAATACTCCAATTTAATTATAGCTTTTATATCTTATAAAAATCTTGGAACCTTGTCTCGCTGATTCTGTCACACAAACAAACTTCCTTTTGGACCAAATGAAATCAAGCGCAGGGTTGGCTGAGTCAAGATTCTCCTTGAACAATTTGATAATGGCTAATGAAATCGACCTTTAGCACCCTCGAATTTGGAATCCTTCGAACAAATATATTATTATTATTACTATTTTTGCCTGGGGCTTCCGACATCTAGGTCATTTCAGCCCCCAACTAAGTCTATATTCTATTTACCCTTTCAAACGCTACATTCATACACATAAATACATCCATACAGTACACTCATTCCGTTTGGTTGGTGGTGTACTTGATATTCCTCCACCGACATATACTCAAACTAACCTAGATTGGGGTCGATGGACTACTTTTATAAATATTCCGCCATCGACCTCGAACACACACTCATACGCTCTCAACGTTCGAGGGGCGATGATGACGTTATATTTCAGCCTCACCCCTAGCCATTCACTCTAATAAATACACGCACTCCGACAAAACACATAAGACTATATACAATAAAAAAAACCCAATTTCCCCTAGAAAGCGGAACAGGGGACCCAGAAATCCGCTGCAGTGCTCGAGTACCATTTTCAGATTGGATGGCACGCCTACACGCTCCCTGTAGGGAGCCAAGGCCTGACATGTTTCCAGTTATGTGGGACACGTCGAGCAACCTTTCTCTGCATAGGGGCACGTGCGCGGGCTTTGGTCTAAGAGCAGGGTGTGTCAACCGCGTATGGCCTATTCTTAATTGCGTAAGGACGATTCCTTGTTTCCGCCTCTAGTTCTCGGGGGGCCATCTACGAATCGTGCTCTTGACGCGCAAAAGCCTCTCGGACGACCCGGTCCACTGACGCTGCCATCTTTCTTTTACCATGTTCTTTACTGCTAGCTAGGAGGGTGGGACGTTCGTTATATATATTATTGTAAATAATCATTGACGTATAAGAGAGGAATGAGCTTGGCTATCTTATCTCGATAGGTAAATAGGTAAAGTTTTTTAAGACAGATAGATAGAAAACATAAAAATTGGCAATCGATTCAACTCCTGGAATATAAAGTTATATAGGCATAATTGAAACATTTAGCTTTTTGTTTACCTGTAGCTTTTTTCCATGTGATTGAAGGAGGAGGTACCCCCTGCGCTTGGCAGTTCATCAAAACGTTTTTATTTCTTTCCACGCTGACGTCCCCCGGCTCTATTATCCATTTTGGAGGGACTGCACCGCAAAGAAAGAAATTACATGCATACATCAAATATTATTATCCAAGAAAAAAAGTTAGAATTTAAAAATATTAAAAGTTTTAAAAAGAGATTGAAAAAAAAACAAACATGCTTCGATAAAATTTTATCTATTTTCAAATTTATTAAAATATTGATAAAGTAAATTTATTAAAAAAATATTCATTTGAATTAGTTGTTAAAAACGATTGAAAATATCTTTAAAAAAATTACATACATAATATGACGAAAAAATATTTAGAAAATTATCCAAAATAGAGTTTAGAATAATGAAAAAAATCTAAAAAATGTATACAGAAATAAAGCTTAAAAAATTAAGATATGATTAATTAATATAAAATTAAATATATTATATACAGAAATTTGTATATAATAATTTAATTTAAAAAAAAGAACGTAAATAAGTAAAAAGATTATGATAAAATATGTAACTTTCAGCATGTATATACGTTGCAATCCTAAATGCAAAATGATCCAAATAAACTACATTTGGCCATTTTTCGTCTGCTCGAACATTCAGGATTATTCAGATGTACACAGAAAATAGCGCAAAGTATATAATGCTGTAATCGGCTGATCATAAGAAAAAAAAATTAAACGAAATTGATTATGTATGAGTTTTTTGTCTAATTAATATTTTCATTTAGAGTTTTCGTCTTAAATATTAACGATTATTTATATTGTAAATACATTGTGTGAGTGTGTCAGGGTTTTAAAGTATATCTGGGTCTGGTTTCAATAAATTGTATTTTTTTTTTACTGAGAAAGTGAAATAAAAGAAGTGCAGTTCGCAGTGAAAGCTAAGCGAGGGATATTTGTCATATAAAATTATGTATTACAAATTAGTGCATTGTGCTAAAATAACGTAAGCTTTCAAATTTAATAATACAAATAGCAAAATGATTGGGGTCAAAATATTACAGTCATTACATATGCAGTATCATTAATGTTAGATTTTTAAAAAAATTGGAATGATGAAAACGATTTTATATGCAAAGATATATCAATAGGATTTTCAAATATGCAAAAGGTGTTTCTACTTGATAAAAAATATAAGAGAACATCGATTAATAAATACGATTTATATACGATGCAAAGCTTGTTCACAGATGTCAAAAGAAAGTTTGGATTGTAATCTTTCTACTTGGTGCCTTAATTTTGTGTCGTGTCAAAAAAAAGTCTACATCTGCTGTAAAACGAGTACAAATATTGAAGAAGAGATAAAATATAGTAAAAAAGTAAAACATGCAGAGGCAGAAGTATATAAAAAAAAGCTTGAAAATTAAGTGCAAAACTTTACCTCAAGAACAAACCTTAGAGAAGGGTTGACCCTGCAGGTGCATTCCAGATGTGCCAAAGCAACGTACATAAATTTTGTGGGTTTCAAGGGTTGGGGCGACTAATTGGGGTTTTCGGGGTTTAGAGCTTTTATCAGGGGGTAGAGGGGTTGCTTTTTACGTTACCTTTCACCTGTAGTTTCGAGGTATACCTAGCCTCCGAGGCGGGATTCGAGGCGACGCAGGTATACTCGCCGGTGTGGGACGAGTCGAGGCTAGCTATGCTCAACAGGCTCGAATACATGTCTAATGCCGAGATGTTGACGGCCAGATGCGTTGGTATCGCCGATCCGTCCTTGAGCCATGTGATTGAGAGCGGTGGGTCACCACTGGATACCCCGCAAACCACTCGAGTTCTACTCCCTTCCGGCAATCCTCCGCCGGGGAATGAGAACCCCTCGATCACAGGCGGTACTGACCCAACCACCAATCAATTATAAGAGAAAAATAACAAAAAATAGAAGAAAAAAGGGCAAAAAAAATTTGAAAAAAGATAAAAGAGAGATAGAAAAGAGAAAATAGAAAAAAATCTGAGATCTCTTTTATCGGGAAATACCGTTGACCACTAGGCGTTGAGTATGGACGACCTCGGCCGCCGGGTTTCGGGCGACGCAGGAATAATTTCCGTTGTGCTCGGGCGAGAGGCTTTCGATCAGCAGTATGCTATTGAACTGGTCGACTTGCTGAACCGCCAGCCTGTGCTTTGGATCAAGGGCCCTGCCGTCTTTGAGCCAGGTGACTGTGAGCGGCGGATCGCCTTTCGTCACCGAGCAAGTCAGTGAAGCACGCTCGCCCAAATGAAGTGTCCTGTCGGCGCTAAACGGGCTTATCTTGGGCGGGACTGGAAAAGAAACAAGCCGATATCTCTCCGGGCTTAACCCATTTTTCCATCCTGGGCCGGCCTTTTCATCACTTCTCCTCTTAACTTACCTGGACCCTCTTGGAAAATTTCTCTAAAATTAAGGAAATATTCAAATGCAAAGCAATCGTTACATAATCAGAAGTTAGACCGTCGCGATCATCCTCTGATATTTTCTAATCATATAATTTCATAAATAATTTTATTTCTGTATTGCTTTTTTCAACGTTTACCATTTAAACATTTCTCAATACCCCGCGAAGGAAAACTTTATAAAAAAAAGTGAATTAAGCAGATAAAGTTACTTATACCGTATCGCGTCTTTGGCATTTTTTGCAAAATGAACTTTTCTTTGCAAAGCTTATGACATGTAAATATCGAGACTTATCATCAACGGAAAAATTCGACAGAGGGGGTTTTAATAAGTTAAGTTTAAGCTTTTAAATTTAATATTATATTGAATAAATAAAACATAATATCTTTGGTTTATAAGGGAATCTAATAAATATTCATACACTATATTTCACTGAATCCGTTTTCTCGGATTTATGTCTCAATGTTATTTTTTATTAAAAACGTTTTATTAAATTAAAGATGAGATTATGTATCGACCTGCTGGAACAAAGGAACTTGGAAAAAAGTATGATCGATGAGGTCACAACAAAACGAAAATTCTTTAAGTTTTTGCCGAGCTTTCGACGATTATATCGCCATCATCAGGACCTATTTATTTGAGGAAAATATCGCAGTTAGAATATGTTATATCATAAAAAAAAATTACAAAAACAATTATTTTTCTTACTTTAACTCGATGAGTGTTGAAATATATCTTGAGAACAAGGAACTGCATTTATGATAAGTTATTTAAAATTAGGTGAAGCTCAGTATCTAAGCATGAACAGTATGGAATTAATTAAAAATAATGAAAACAACATAATTTAAAAATGTGTGGTGATAAGTGACCGTTAATATATAATTATTCAGAAATCGTGAGATGCGGTCTGGTGTGATGTAGGTTTCAGAAAAACATTTTCTTTATCTTGCCAACGTTTCGATCTTTATTGAGATCATCTTCAGGGCTCAAAGTGTTTGTCTTCTGTGAAATTGTGCCATTCTTGCTTGTCGTGTTGAGAGTGCCACGACACGCAAGAATGGCACAATTTCACAGAAGACAAACACTTTGAGCCCTGAAGATGATCTCAATAAAGATCGAAACGTTGGCAAGATAAAGAAAATGTTTTTCTGAAACCTACATCACACCAGACCGCATCTCAAGATTTTTGAATAATTAATAATATAAAAATTAAAAAAACCACAACGTGGTCGTATAGCTTACCTCGGTTAAAATATAAATGTAAGTATATGCCTCTTTTTTAAAAATAAAATTACTTTTTCCTCTTTTTATTTTGTTGTTTTTGTATTTTTTTAAAAATTATGTAGCATGTTCTAACTGCGCTATTTTCTTAAAACAAATAGTCCCTGATGATGACGATATAATCGTCGAAAGCTCGGCAAAAAGTTAAAGAATTGTCGTTCTGTTATGACCTCATCGAAGATCCTTTTTTTCCATGATTTATTAAATTATTATTTATACAAGAACTGAGTTGCAAAGGTGGAGTAATATTTGGTCATAAAATATAAAATATGATCATTAGAATAAAACCATTTATATTTAGTGATCTAATTGACCAAATTACTTCTTTCAATTAATTATTCGTTTTATGTAAGGTCTTGGTTTAAATGAAAAAAGCTAGTGTCACGAGCGGGATTCGAACCCACGACCTCTATACGCCGCTGCTCTAACCACTTGAGCTATCGTGACTTAGATCCCCTCGGACACCAAACCCCCATTAGAATTAAAAGGAGGGAAAATTTAAAAGGTGGGGGTTGAGGTGAGAGTTAGTGTCGAGTGGATCGAGGTCACGACAGCTCAAGTGGTAGAGCAGCGTATCTAGCCGAAGTTCGTGGGTTCGAATCCCGCTCGTGACACTGACTTTTTTATCTCAACTAAAAACCTTAATTAATTGAAAGATATTAATTGGTCAAGCCAACCACAAAAACTAGTGAATTAGAATTAAACTTTGTTAAAGATGAAAATTTATTATAAATAAATTAAATTAAAATAAATCTTTAATTTTGAACTTCTTACCATCAATTTTTAAGTTAGATTTTTATAAAAAATAATAAAAACAATGAATGTTTTCGCAAATTAGGAATTACTGGATTTGACGATTTTTTGACCATTTTCTCCAAACCTAACGGCCCAAAATTGATTTTATTAGAGATTTTATTAACCCCCTAAGTAAAACGTCATAATATTTGGTGATAAAGAGTGTACTTGTAAAAAAAATCTGTATTATTTTATGTTTATTGTTTACGTTTTTTCTACCCATGTCTAATTTTATGTTTAGTTTATATATTCTTTTGTGTACAATAAATTATGTATTCGATATTTACAGTTCTTATGGTTTCGTTTTCCGAAAAAAGCTGCCTGAATTTGTAAATTTGTAAAAGAAAAATCTTTATGTTTATTCAAGTTTGCAAGTTGATCAAAGACTAATAGATTTCGAGATTACCACATACAAACTTTTTTTCTTTATTATATTAGTGTGCTTATAAATATAGAATTATTTCCTTTTATTTAAAACAATGAAATTTTTGAGAAAAAATGTATTTTTATTGTCGACACAAATAATATTTTTATCGCCATATGCAAAATTTCTGTAATATATTGTTTTTCAATTGTTATCAAATTTTATTGTTTGATTTTTGTATTGCTGAGGTTGAATAAGCATCAGCAACAATCATTTTGTTTTGTTCACTTTATTCTGTACATTTACTTTTGGCGATAAACCTACAATATAAAAGTTGTAGTTTGTGTAGTGAAGGCGGGAGAAAATTGAACTTTTAAACTTCCCGCATATGACGATTACGAATCTGAATTTTCCCCTTTGCCTTTGTTACCATGGCAAGGGCTTAACCATGCTGCAATTTCCCCCAGCAATTGGAGTACATAATCTAAACATGTTACGGGCAGCCTTGTCACGGCTTGTTAATATCAGAGGAGTTTTCTCAAAATGTGTTCATAAAATACGATTGCTTCGCTTTTCATTTGGTACAAAAAGAAATACTCATGTTATTGTTTCTATAAAATAAAACACGTTTGTCCTGAAGTACAAAAATAATTTGAAACAAAATTGAAAAGATAGAGGTGCGAGGAATTAATAGGGGTAATACTGAGCCACTGCATCATGGTAATGAATCAAATTTAATTAATTAAATTTTAGGTTGATTCCTACAAATTAAATTTTAATTTATTAGTTAATTTTTCCTGAGAAAATTTAATTTATTTATGTTTGCCATATTGAAAACTTATTTTACCTGCCAAACATAACAAGATAGTTGAATTATTGCATAAACTGACAATTAATACATAAGTGTCGTGGGGTTGGTTGGTGCATGTTTTCTCGATATTTTAAGTTACACCCAGATTTTTTACAAAATTTACAGGAATTTTATCCCACTCATATTGTATTTTATTCTGTGGTCAGGCCATCTGACAGCATTTAAAAGTTAAAAGGACAGATTTTTGACTGACAAATCTCAGACGGTGAATTCACTATATATAAAACTAAATAATTTTCCAGATACCTTAATTGTGTATTATTAAATTCAATCCTTTGGCCATTTTAGTTTGCACTTGAAGTCGGATTATTTTTATTATTTGTGTAAACATAAAGCAGAGGTGTTTTTTGTGTGTGTTATTTTTATTCATCAATTTCGTAAGATTGACGAGTTTTCATAAAATATTTAATTGTTATTTGTTATCTTCATGAGAAACAGTTACGCAACGCTGATAAGTCGTGCGGGTTTAGTCTATGTTACCATTCTACAGCTGGATGTTAAGAATTTATGTCGAAGAAAATATATTTTGCTGTAAACTACATAATAACGCCTATTTAATTATTTTTTTATTAAATCCTCTATAATTGTTGTTCATTCGTTTAATTAATGACGTTTGTAAGAATGCGGTAATGCCTAACAAATCAAGAAGGATGTGCTCTACATTTGTCTTAATGGATGATAATGAACTAAACGCAACTTATCCATTTATTGGGTCCGTCTTTTCTCGCTGGTGACGTTTCGTCTTGACGCCAAAGATCCTCACTGAAGATGGCGTGGGTCGTCGCAATTAAACTGTATGGATTAAACAGGATTCTAACCAAATGCGATATATTTTTTTGGCTATAGAATCATTGCTGGCTTGTTATCTTTTGTCTATCTTATTTAAAAGAGGTTACACTGGCACAAAAATCCTCATAAGATCAGATATCCAAGCAGCTATTAAAGCATTAGCATGTGAAAAAAATCAAACCGAAACTAGCCAGTGAATGCAACCGAAACCTCCAAAATATGGGGAAAGCCACAACCTGATAATACTTTGGGGATTAAGATACAAGTGAATTTTGAGTAAAAAGCATCGGCAAGATTTTCAGGACCGTATATAGACGCGAACCTATTCTTGGGATAACAAAAACAAACACAGTATCCTTTATCAAAGAATGGAATTAAAAAAGACAAAAGGAAAAGTGGATAAATTCAAGGGTCGCAAGACGCAGTAAACGTATGCTAAAACACCCCTCACCAAGACTGGCAAACTCACTGAAACAGTTAGAAATGGCTAAACTTAGAGGAGTGGTAGAACTATTTACCAGTCACGAGGATCTGAAAAACATCATGGGCAAAACCTGGGGTAGAAAGAAAACCCAGGGAAAGGAATTTTAGCAACGATAGTCAATGACCTATTACTTCTTAAAAGAAGGATCGAATCGACAGACTTAACTAAAAACTAGAAAAGTACCATAAGCCACATGGCTGCAGTGCTTAGGGAACATAACCCCCACATCCTAGAAACCATCCATAATCATCATTATATTAAGACGATAACCTAATCTCATTTTGGCGGACTCAAGTGACTATGCTATGACTATGCTAAATTTATGTACAACTTAAACCAGGATGCCGGCAGGGCCTTTTTCAGCCTGGCGTTCAACAGTGTCTACACCTGTCACTCTGCAACTAAATATAAACATAAATTACCCATACTAGTGTGGTGTGTCTTTGGGTCACAAACTCACCCAAACATGCTCGAATTTTTACGCTTATAAATACATTTACTACAATGGTGAATAATATTTCAACGAATGTCTGAAAAGGCGACAATTATTTATCTGTTTTATGTTCAATCAGCTAATCATTTCAATCCTTTCTGTGAATTAATATTTTTAAATTGATGAAGAAGAAATTGACCACGGTTAATGTGTTTGGGATCTGGTAGAAAAAAGGAGTAGACTCTGTGATCACTTGCCAAGCTTTCGGCCTTTATAAGATCATCATCAAGGACTGAATAAAAATTAAAACATTACATAATTACATTAATTACAAAATCACTATTTTTCGTGGTCCGCTTGACCGATTACTATCATTCAATTAATTAAGGTTTTTAGTTGAGATAAAAAGTCAGTGTCACGAGCGGTATTCGAACCCACGACCTTCGGCTTGATACGCCGCTACTCTACCACTTGAGCTATCGTGACCTCGATCCGCTCGGGCACCAACTTCCCCCCAATCAACATTTGAAAAATGGCAAAAAGGAGGGAAAATTGAAAAGGTGGGGTTGAGATGGAAAGTTGGTGCCCGAGCGGATCAAGGTCATGATAGCTCACGTGGTAGAGTAGCAGCGTATCAAGCCGAAGGTCGTGGGTTCGAATCCCGCTCATAACACTGACTTTTTCATCTCAACTAAAAACCTTAATTAATTGAATTAATTACAAGTTTTTCGGTTCTTTATAACTTACATCATCCTGTTTCTCATATTAGCATTACATAATGACGAAAAAAACCCGACGACATCGACGAGATCTCGAAGTACATGAGCTTGGTTAAGTTGAAATTACGACGAGTTTTTTCAGTTTTTTTCTATAATTGATGTAAAACTAGATTAAACCGACAGTTTCAATAGTAAAATATAGTTTTTGAAAGGATTACCAAGGATAGTAGTCTCCAAGGTCTAGTCGATAAAGAAAACCTTTTGCCTAGAAGGTAATTCATTCGCAGTCTAGTCTTTTAGAAATGTCAACGATTACACCTTTGAGGTTTGCATCTGGAATTTTTCCTAAGCTGAAGTTAATGTTAAAAAAGTATTTGCCAGATACATTTGTAGTACATAAATTCAGTAATAAGTTAAGCCAACTACACAAAAAAATTTAAAGCAAAAGAATGTATTGCTAATTGTTCGAATGTTACGTACCAAATAAACTGTCAAAAACTGTGAAAAAACGTTGGACAAAGAAAACAAAGATTAAACCAACATAAATTATAAACTAATGATAAATCTAGACCAGGGAAAGCGTTATCAAAGCACTCGCAAGAGTACAACCATCAATTTGATTTTACAGAACCCCGAATTCTAGACAGAGAAAATCGGTTGAACAGACGTTGTTTCAAAGAAATGTTATTTATTGGTACAAACGTACAGATATTTCTTGTCTCAGTTCGATCCATTCGAGTCTCCTGGATTTTCATAAATCCCGCCAAGTTTTCTTCCTGGCCTGGTTCGCCTTCTAACACAGGATCAACACATAACCAGCTGTTATGTGTATTATCTAAATTTATATATAAATAGATAAATGTAATTGTTATTGTAATAGTTATTACTTTAAATGTAATTATTGTTAAAAAGACCAGTATAGATAACTTCTTGACTTGTGGAGGCTGTGGATTTGAACTGTGCGAGTGAATTACCTCCTAGGTATAACGTTTTCTTTTTCGACTGGACCTCTATTTTGGGTAGACCACTATTATTGGTAATCCTTTTAAAAACGACCTATTTTACTATGGAAATTTTTGGTTAATCTAGTTTTACATCAATTATAGAAAAAAATTGAAAAAGCTTGGCGTAATTTCAACTTAACCTCATGTACTGCGAGACCTCTTAGTCGATGTCGACGGGGATTTTTCGTCGTTCTGAAATACTAATATAAGAAATAGGATTCAGTAAGTTAAAACAAACTAAAAAACTAGTAGTTAATGTAATAATATAATGTTATAATATTTATTCTGGCCCTGGAGACGGTCTTACAAAAGCCGAAAGCTTGGCTAGTGATCACAGAATCTGCTTCTTTTTTCTACCTGATCAGAAACCAGATCCCAAACACAATATTTTAAAGATTTTTTGGCAAAGCACCTCATCTTTTGTTGCTCTAATTCGCTAATTAGAGAATTTTTTTATACATTTAAATTTTATGGGTATTGAGAGGAATGTGTCAAATATGGGGAAATAATATCCAGTTTGGATCGACTTTTTAACCCAGCCCTTTAAAATACCTCGCAAATTTTTTTAAATATTAAATTATCTGATTATAAATTCATTATGATTAAAAGCAAAAACCGAAAAAAAATCATTTAAGGAGAATACTCAAACAGATAATTTCTCTCTATTTGGATTTGTTTAAAAATTATATATTAAAAAATGGCAGGGATTTTTAGATAAATATTTAATCAATATTTTATGTTGAATGTTATAAGAAACGCTTTTTTTTAAAAAAAAAGATGCAATGGCTCAATTTGAAGAGTTTTAATTGTTTTCGTTCGACTCTTACCTATGACTTTGACTTCACCGCTTCTCCTCGCCGTCTGCCCTTGCTTATTTCTCGCCCAGCAAGTGTACACGCCGGCGTCTGCCGATGTCTGGACAGGGTTTATAATCAAGAGGCCCGTGCTGCTTATCACCTTCTGTCGCAAATCTTCCGGCAGTTCGCGTCCGCCTGAAAAGCTCCGTTTTTATACAAAGGACAAAGGTTCAACGAGCCCTTCGGTTCCGGCTGATTAATTGTTCGGATTCGATAGAAATTCAGAAATAGGTTAAAGCTCCAAAAACGAGGGGTCTAGGAGAACTTCTAAACCTAGAGTACATAATTAATGACTTTACTGGAATAATGAATACTGATCGTCTGCAAATTTTTTTTTTAAATGACGGTCCATTAATTTTAATCATGTTCTGTACACTCATGTCTGGAAAATGTTTTATTTTAATTAAACAAATCAGTTGGGATTTTCGGCCGCTAAAAAATTTTAATGGCTTTTACCGAGACAAATTGCAGTAATGGAGCTGATAATTACAAGTTTAAAAAAATTGCCAATGCAAACAATCTATTCAATACAATCGGTTTCTATCAGCCTATTCTTATGCAAGAATAAAAAACCTAATTTGAACTTTATGAAACTATTTTTGATAGAAAAACGTCGTTCTTTTATTTAATTAAAAATCATGTTTTCAACAAAACAGTTAATGTATTAAAAAAAAGTCTCATTGTAGAAACAAACCTCTTTCCCATTTTATTTCTTCTATGGGATATCCGGCCACGGGACATTTGATTTGGAATTCTTCTCCAGCTACTGCTGTCACCTTCGGTATCATTCTTATGTAAGGCAGGCCTAAAATAAATATTTTTATTTTATCAACAAAAAATTCATTTTTTCATATCTGTTAGTCTTTATACGCCACAATACAAGCTCAAATAAAAACAAAAATGAGCAACATCCAGATCGTTCTGTTTGTTAATCGATGATATTTGAAGATGTCGTTGTAAACATTTGAAAAAATTAATTTACTATCGAGTTAACTGATAAATGAAGTCTTTGGTTGAAGAAGGTGGAGAAAATTTTGTCCGAAAAAACTATATTCGTAAGGCTTCTTTGCGAATAACTCGAGAATGCTGTAAATTAAACAAAGTTTGCACTTTTGATTCCAGAGTGAAAAACCCAATGAAAAATTATTCTTTCTATGTAAGGTCTTGGTTGGGATAAAAAAGTCAATGGCACGAACGGGATTCGAACCCACGATCTAAATACGCCGCTGCTCTACCACTTGAGCTATCGTGACTTCGATCCACTCGGACACTAACTTCCCATCTCAACCCCACCTTTTCAATTTTCCCTCCATTTTTGAAATGTCGTGTAATCTATTTGATTCTCGACGACAAATGAAATGGCCACGGAGAGCTTTAGTGAAGTAAACTTCATTTTAAATCATTAAATTCACTAATTTCGTGGTCCGCTTAACCAATTAATATATTTCAATTAATTAAGGTTTTTAGTTGAGGTAAAAAAGTCAGTGTCACGAGCTGGATTCGAACCCACGATCTTCGGCTAGATACGCCGCTGCTCTACCACTTGAGCTATCGTGACTTCAATCCACTCGGACACTTCCCATCTCAACCTCACCTTTTCCATTTTCCCTCTTTTCTGCCATTTTTCAAATGTCGTGTAATCTGTTTGATTCTCGGCGATAGTGATACATCTTTTACTTAATAAATATTAATCGATTTATGTTTTACTGATCAATTGACCAAGTTTCAATTAATTATTCTTTCTATGTAAGGTCTTGGTAGGATCCCGCTTGTGACACTGACTTTTTTTTATCTCAACCAAGACCTTACCTAGAAAGAATAATTAATTGAGAGAAGTAACTTGGTCAATTGACCATTAAACCGTAATTGGATCTATAAAAAATGATTATTTAGCGATCATGAAATACGTTCTGGTGTGATGTGGGTTTAGAAAACCATTTAAAACACCTATAAAAAATGTAGGTCGATGAGTTTGCTATTTAAAACAATAAACCCCTCATCGTATCTCGCTGTCTTGGAGAATTATATAAAAACTTTTTGGCTGATGTCATACTAGACAAAAAATAAAAGTTTACGTGTCTTTGGATCTTCCCAGTAAAAAATATAGAGAGAGAGCAGATGTTTAACTCACCCTGTAAATCCTGAGCTAACAGATCTGCGAATTTTGAGATTTTCTCTATCTGCGGGGTGATAATTTTTTTTATATATTTATCTATCACCTCGGTCCGCCTATCCTAGCTGATTTTTGTTTTTTCAGACGCGTTTCGGCATTTCACCATCTTGCCGAAGAAGTATCAAATTTGATCTAAAGGTTTAAGGCAGTGGAAAGCCAAAACAAAAGTTTTGTCGATTGGTGATTCATTTTAAGCTAAATATATCTTTTCTGTTTATGCTCTCCGTTTGTACTATAAGTAAATTGGAAAAGTTTTATCACCATCGGATTTTAGATTGCCAAACATTTTAGCCAAAGAGGTAACTCGAGAAAATAAACTGATTTATAAAGAGCTCATAATTACTTGTGATTGTCTACATCATGTAGCTTTTGACTATTTAAATAAAGAAAAAGTAAATTTCTTATTAGAAAAAATTGAGCAAGAATTTGAAACTTTTTTCCATAGTTTGTACTGGGATCTGAATTCAGAACTAGGGGACAAATATTATATGTCTGATAACAATATTTTTAATTTTTTAGTGTAATTTTTCACACTCAACACATTTTTAATTCACCGACGACCCTAATTAATTTTTACGTAAGGTACTGGTTAAAAAGAAAAAGTTAGTGTCACAAGCGGGATTCGAACCCACGACCTTCGGCTAAATACGCTGCTCAACCACTTGAATCACGGTCGTGACACTAACTTTTTCATTTCAACCAGTACTTTACGTAAAGATTATTTAATTGGAAGTTATTATTTTAATTAATATATTATTTTTTATGTAGTGTGGTTGAGTTGAAAAATTTGATCAAATACTAACTACGAGTTAACCACATGTGTGTTAGACAAAAGGCTATGAAAAAGGAAAACCAGTTAATCATTTAGCCAACAATGATTTTCCCCTTTGGAAAAAAAAATTCACATTTTGGATGAAAGCATCTATTACAATATTTATGTTAATAAACACGGATTTGTGATCCTTTTAAACCGGATTAAAAGCTGGTAAAAGAGGGGCTATGTGAGGCCTGACGAGTGAGCATGATCCGGAGGATTAATGGATTTGTACTGCGGACTGGACTTTTTGGCATAAAATAACGATACTTTTAGATGACAAAATGAATTTTACCTTGAACGAAATGGATTGAAAATAAAATCGAACGTCTTTAAAAACCAAGTGCTCATTGGTGTCTTTTTTATTTTTTAAATAGTATCATCAAATAAACAATTGGTAAGGATTACAGAACTTTTATCATTGAATTAATCGTTGTTTTGATAAGAAAAATGATCTGTGTGATTTCTATCAAACATCCGTCACTTCTATTGATAGTTCTTACGCCTAAGCATTTAAAAGCTCTGAGAATGTTCTAAGTTCGACGTTTTATCGATTAGCAAAAAATAAATAAATTCTCTTACAATTGGAAGTGTATCGAGGAGTGTTAATCGCTTTCGATTGTAAATGAATTGGTTGTCTCCCCCATGTGTTCTCATTGTTTCACATGAATTGGCCTGAATGACTCCGTGATGTGTATCGCATTATTGGATTGTACATTGTGTTTATTTTCATACCTTCCCGTTTATCTGGTTCTGACGGCAAAAAATATCGTTTTATCGTTTTTGTTTAAGCGTTAACTTTTAATTGTTAGTCGCACTGTTGCCGATTACAAAATTAATGTGAATATCGTAAAAGCGTTTCCAATCTAAAATTTAATTATTGTTGTTTTAACTGGAAAATGAACAAACCAAATGCTCACAATATTTCTATAAAAAATTAAACGGGAAATTTATTAACAACGACTAGTCCAATTTAGCAAACTGCGCGGCTTGGTGAAATCCTTCTAATTTAAAAATGTGGCCTGTACATGAAAATACTTCACGAGGTTATCCTATATGCAAAATTGGATTAAATTGTCCCTCCTCTATTCGAGTTATTTTACTTTTTATGTTACTTCACCCTTTCAAAAGTTCATTCCATAAAACCTCCTGTATCTCATGAAATTTAAACATGCATTATTAGCATAAAACGCATAATATACATAGAAAACTCGATGATGTTATTTCAATCTTAAACAAACAATACACAAAATCACTTAGAAGATAAATTTTACGAATTTCTAAAGTTCTTGTATCTATTATACTTCGCGGTACGATTTTATTTTTTTATTTTTCACTTTCCTTAACAATTTACATTTTTTTTAAACTTTTTTAGACAAAGACTCAATCATTAAACGTTAAAAAAATTGAAACTTTGATTATTATATAAAAATATATACAAATCAAGTTATTTGCAAGTGGGTGGAATTTTTTGCTTGACAGTATATTATGTTTTACTAGGTCCTATTAACCAAAGTTATTATTTTATCCATTATATTTCGTGGTCAGATTGACCAAATAAATTCTTTCAATTAATTAATCTCTATGTAAGGTATTGGTTGAAATGAAAAAGCTAGTGTCACGAGCGGGATTCGAACCCACGACCTTTGGCTCAATATGCCGTTAATCACTTGATCGTGACTTCGATCCACTCGGACACCAAACCCCCATAAGAATTAAACTTTCTTAAACATTAAAATTTATTCACTATTTTTCGTGGTCCGCTTGACCAATTAATAACATTCAATTATTAAAGTTTTTAAGTTGAGATAAAAAGTCAGTGACACGAGCGGGATTCGAACCCAAGACCTTCGGCTTGATACGCCGCTACTCCACTACCTGAGCTATCGTGATTTCGATCCCCTCGGGCACTAACTTCCCTTCTCAATTCAAAAGTTGGGGTTGTGATGGGAAGTTAGTGCCCGAGGGGATCGAAGTCACGATAGCTCAGGTGGTGGAGTAGCGGCGTATCGAGCCGATGGCCGTGGGTACGAATCCCGCTCGTAACACTGACTTTTTAACTCAACTTAAAATCCTTAATTAATTGAAATATTAAAATTTATTAAAAGCAAATTAAATTATAACAAATCTTTAATTTTGAACTTCTTGCCATCAATTTTTAAGTTAGATTTTTATAAAAAATAATGAAAAGTTCTTGCAGATCAAGGATCTCTGGATTTTTCGTTTATTTACTGATCATTTTCTCCAAACCTAACGGCCCAAATTTAGTGTCACGAGCGGGATTCGAACCCACGACCTTTGGCTCAATACGCCGCCGATCTAACCACTTGCTCGTGACTTCGATCCACTCGGACACCAAACCCCCATAAGAATTAAACTTTCTTAAACATTAAAATTTATTATAAATAAATTAAATTATAATAAATCTTTAATTTTGAACTTCTTACCATCATTTTTTAAGTTAGATTTTTATAAAAAATAATAAACGCAATAAAAGTTCTTGCAAATCAAGGATCTCTGGATTTGACGTTTATTTATTGATCATTTTCTCCCAACCTAACGGCCCAAAGCTAGTGTCACGAGCGGGATTCGAACCCGCGACCTTTCGCTCAATACGCCGCTGATCACTTGATCGTGACTTCGATCCACTCGGATACCAAACCCCCAATAAAAATTAAACTTTCTTAAACATTAAGATTTATTATAAATGAATTAAATTATAATAAATCATTAATTTTGAACTTCTTACCATCAATTTTTAAGTTAGATTTTTATAAAAAATAATAAAAGCAATAAAAGTTCTTGCAAATCAAGGATCACTGGATTTGACGTTTCTTAATTGATCATTTTCTCCAAACCTAACGGCCCAACATTGATTTTATTAGGGATCGTCGTACTTAACTTTTCAAAAGTAAGTTATCACCAATGTAAAATTGATGTTTAATTGCGAAAAAATTGATTTTTCGGTCATACACGGTTAAAAAATATTAATCTGTAAGATTTTAAACTTTTATTAAAACATAATGAAAGTAATTCAAATGAATTTGATTTTGAAATCTTTAGTTGATAAATTTTTCAACAATATACGAGTTTCTAGGAGGCTGAGGGGAAAACTGAACCAATTATATCCGACCGCAGGAATTCGAACGCAATTACCAACAAGTCGCTAAGTATTAATTAATTTTTTAATTAACTGATCCTCATCCCTTCTAGGAAGTCGACGCCGCCTAATTAAATGTGCACGCCTCGATTAAAGCCTGTGAATAGCGTTTTTGATTCACGAAAAACGAGCCAACGTTTAGTCATTTATTAACGAAATTAATTTTTTTTCTCGAATCTTATAAATTAAATATAAAATTCAACGGTCGAATAATAATAAACGACTTGAGTAAACAATGTACATCCGTTTGAACTTTATTTCTCCAATGGTCCAAAACAATTTTTGGTTGAATAGATATCTACTGACCGGAACGTATACTAATTCGAATAAGGCAGGTGAGGCGACACGTCTCCACGACAAGTCCACCAAATGGAATAATTTTGCCGCATCACCAACAAAACGTGATGCTTATTGGGATGTCACAGAAGAAAACGACTCTATTTCTATTCACAGGCCGTTTTTACATGAGATTTCAGTTGATCCAGACGAGAACTGTATGTAATAAATTAAACTCTACGAGGAAGAATTTCATAATAAAGTAACATTCAATCCCAGGAAATCAATCATTGATGAAATTCGACGAAATTTAAATTAATTAATAGAGAATTTACGGTTTTTACGTTCCAAATCAGTCATATGTAATGCTACATTTTTTAACGTTGGTTTTCTTAGTTGTTTGTCTTTTTTCATTTACATTACGACACATTAGGATTTGAATTGTACTTGCTAAAAAGGGGCGTCGGTGACCGCAACGGTTTAGACGTTGACACGTCGCTCCTCACTGTAAGGTAAAGGTCCCGGGTTCGAATCCAGCGGCCCTGCATTCGAACCCCACATATTTACAAATGGTTTTTTTTTCAAAAACATCTGACAAAAAAACATTTGATCAAAAACCCCGAGGGTTGATATAACTTCTGCTGTTGCGAACCCTCGTAAAAAAAGACAAAAAATTGTGCTTGCTGATTGCGTAAAATTTCAGAAATAAGAAATACTGTTAATTGGGAAGCGTGGAATAACTAGATGATGAAATAAAAATAAAAGCAAAAGGTAAAAAATAAAGAGAAAAAGAAAGAAAGAAAGAAAAGAGAACAAGAAAGAAAGAAAAGAGCAAGAGAGAGAGAGAGAGAGAGAGAGAGAGAGAGAGAGAGAGAGAGAGAAAGAGAAAGAGAGAGGGAGAAGGAGAGTGGTTGAGTGAGAAAGATCGGGGGAGGGGGAGATAGAAAAAAGCGCAGATAGATTTATATACAGACTGATATATAGATAAATATAAACAGATAAATATAGACAGATGAATAGGTAGTAAGAGAAAGAATGGAGAGTGAGACAGATAAAGATACACATAGATAAATAATTAGAAAGGTAGGGAGACGTTAAAGAGTGTGATAGAGTTAGAAAGAGTGAAGACCGATAGCGTGAGAAAAGACAGACGATAGAGAAAGAAAAAGGTGAGAGAGAGAGAGTGAGAGAGAGAGAGAGAGAGAGAAATAGGATCCTAAACATAGATATATAAAGTGAGTAAGAGGAGAGTAGTGAATATAATATAAGAGAAAAAAGAAGAGAGATGAGAAGAGAAGATAAGTATGAATAATACATATAAAGAAATAGATTTATAAAGTAGGTAGGAGGAGAGTAGTGAATAGAACATAAGAGAAAAGAAAAGAGGAAGGGAGAGGGGAGAGTGACTATATATATATCGCGAGAGAGAGGAAGAGAGAAAGAGAGAGAGAGAGAGAGAGAGAGAGAGAGAGAGAGAGAGAGAGAAATGATGTTATCGTAGAATTAGAACAATAAATAATGACAATTTATGTAATTTATCTTTTGTAGAATCACACACTGACAGCACAATTAGAAGATATNAGAGAGAGAGAGAGAGAGAGAGAGAGAGAGAGAGAGAGAGAGAGAGAGAGAACGAAATGATGTTATCGTAGAATTAGAACAATAAATAATGACAATTTATGTAATTTATCTTTTGTAGAATCACACACTGACAGCACAATTAGAAAATATAATTCTGGAGGAGACAAAACTATTAAAACCGATTATAGATTTATTATTAGGATTTTTTTAAATGAATCAGAAAAATTATTTTGTTTCAACAAATTTTAGATTGAATCTGAATATGAGGCCTTCTTTCCTCTTCTTGTTCACCAGCACAATTTTAGAACCCAATACTTTGGCTAGAGTCTGTGATTCCATTTGGAGGGAAAAACGACAAAGAAGGATCTAACCCCGAAGACCGTGGGTTCGAATCCCATCCAAGACATTGCTATTTTTTATCTCAAATCTCGCCTTCAAAAATTAATAAGTAATGGAACTGAATTCGATAAATAAGGTATATTTGCTTAATTAAAGTTTATATTTGTAAAATTCTGTAGCGTAATATTCGAACTCATCTTTACCATAAACGTTGAGCCTAGCAGAATGCGATACTTTTCCTGCCCTGTTCTCGGCAGTGCACGTGTACTCGCCTCCATCTTCCACTACGACGTGGCTGATGTTCACGTGGCTTATGACATCGCCGTGTAATGTGACATACTGTCCGATGACGAACCTGAAAAAAAAAATGATGATGTACTGAATATAGAAAGTAGCCTATTAAACACAAAATATTTATGTATTTGTACACCCTATGATGTTTCACCACAGGATATGGATTATGCTTAACATACATATTTGAAATTAGTGCTAGTTTTTGAAGCAAAACCTAAAATAAATATTGGATGTTTAGTTTGTAAGTTGCAGTTTTGTTTTGAGGGTTTTGGCTTCTTACCATCTTCAGAACTTACTAATTACCGGAAAACATCAAAGTATTATATCGTCAAGGTTATAAGCAGGGAGAGACATACAGCTGACTGTATAATTTGTGGGAATTTTTCTTGTGTTTAAAAATGTTATTTTATTTCAAGATCGTTTTATTCACATTAATCTAGTGTGGTCTGTATGGCTTATACCATAACGTCGTAATATCATCTTAGCTGGATAAACGACACATTTGTAGCAGTTTAATCCAGCAATCTTTCCAGTATAGAAAGTTCCGATTGGGTCTATTATTGAAGCATAATACAGCACTGACGATATAAGCAAAACCCCTCCTGACTGATTAAAACAGCGAGGATAGTCACATAAAATTGATCGGAAACGCCATCGAAATAAATCACATAAAAAAAACAAATAAAAAAAAACGAACGATTGAAAAATGGCAAAAAGGAGGGAAAATTCAAAAAATGGGGTTGAGATGGGAAGTTAGTGTCCGAGTGGATCGAGGTCACGATAGCTCAAGTGGTAGAGCAGCGGCGTATCTGGCCGAAGATCGTGGGTCCGAATCCCGCTCGTGACACAGACTTTTTTATCTCAACTAAAAACCTTAATTATTTGATTTTAATACGAATCTTACAATATATTTTACGTCGAAGCATTATTTATGTTACGGTTCATGCTAATTTGCTATGTAGTTACAATGTAAACTATTAATCAACTAAACTATGTCTATGTCAATTTTTCTTTTATTAGATTTGCAGATTCATCAAGTCACAAGTGATGATACGTCCAAAATAATTTCCAATTTAGATCTTGTTAATTATTTAAATAAAAAAATAGAGAGTCTACTAACGTGAAGATTTATTTCCCATTATAAAACCCACTTTAAATTTAAGAAAAACAATTTTGGTTAAATTATTTATTAACCATTAGAAATTATGTACGGATGATGGCTTTTATTTTCAAAATTATTTGACTTAATTTCCGGTCGGCTCGCATTATACTAATTAAAAAAAATTCCATGAAAGAATTAATAAAAATAATAACGCTATGATCTTACGATAATTGATCAAAAGCTCGTCTGGATTGTTCTCAACCCTCGTCGCGACGAAGCAAACTACGTGAACGGACTTAACGATGAGAATGGGAGCTTAATTGATAAAAAAAATCCAATCATTTTTCTCCTTGGGCTCCCAGTGCAAGCCCCACTCAGACAATGCTTAATAATTCAACTTGAATTTCGTCACAAAGGAATTCCGATTTTCATTTCCGATCCTTTTATCTTCTTAATACCATCCGATGACAATTCCCATTGAAAAGCATTTTAAACGTTGAGCCCTGTACTGGAATAGAAATCTAATTTAGTACCGTGACGTCTAATCGGTTCTGATCCTATTGAGTGTTGTTCGGAAATCAGAAATTCAAACCCACAAAAATTAACCAATAAATTCAAAACAGAGGTAAATCTGGCCACGGGATTTTTCGGCGTTTAACAATTCGTTATTTTAATTTAAGAATTTTTATCGATCTTTTATAGGATGATTTGGGGAAGTATTATCGCCCCGTTTATATTGTTTTCCTGTATTCCGCACTGGTCCGGGTTTGTACGAGACCATTTTTTGTTAAAGTTAATCGTTTCTGAAATAAACGGAGAGGGCCATTTTGTTGATACTAAAAGCATACCCCCTCATGCGTCTTCCATCGGGCATAACTCACAAATGGTCGATCCCATCCAAATTTTCCTTTCAGTAAAACTGGCACAAATCAAGCTCTAGAATATAATTATACAATACACAATGAAAGTATGGAATTCTCGTTTAAAATAGCAAATTTTGTGTCATTTTCAAGCAAGATGAGAAAGTTATGTTAAATCTCTTACGACCAGGCGATTTCTAGCCAAAATTAACCTGGGGTTTGTAAAAGACCATTTTCTCTAATGTTAATCGTTTTGGAAATAAACGGAGAGGGTCATCTTGTTACAAAAAGCATACCCCCCATGCGTCAATGACTTTTTATCTCAACTAAAAACCTTAATTAATTGAAATATATTAATTGGTCAAGTGGACCACGAAATTAGTGAATTTAATAAGTTTAAATGAAGTATACCTTCACTAAAGCTCTTACATTTGAAAAATGGCAAAAAGGAGAGAAAATTCAAAAGGTGGGGTTGAGATGAAAAGTTAGAGTCCGAGTGGATCGGGGTCACGATAGCTCAAGTGGTAGAGCAGCGGCGTATCTAGCCGAAGATCGTGGGTTCGAATCCTGCTCGTGACACTGACATTTTTATCTCAACTAAAAACCTTAATTAATTGAAAGATATTAATTGGTCAAGCGGACCACGAAAACTAGTGAATTAAAATCAAATTAAAAAATAAATTTTGACGTTTAGGTATCACAGAATAATGTTAGCTATTCAATTTGCAATAAATTGACATTGGTTTATATTGATTTTATATTGATGCGAATAAAAATCCAACATTTACCCCTATTTATTCGTTAATGTACTTTGACATCTCACTCACACAAGCTGATAATAGTTAATTTATATTGGCAATTGATCGGAAAATTTAAAAGTATTATATTGATCGAATTGTCGGAAAATAGAGCAGTTTATAATTAACCCCCCTTCATTAAATTAAAATTTGTTAAAGAGAGACGTAAAATTGAAGAAAAACATACAAAACGCATTTAAAGCGAAACATCTTATTTGAGAGATGTTTCTACAAGTGTTCTCAATGGAGAAAATGTTTATGAACAAAGTTCGTTCTAGATTTCTCCTGTAAGTTTTAGCCAAGTGTGAACTCCGAACCATTGCTTTGATACAGTCAAAAGTGGATACTAAGGCTAAAAAAGACTTTACTTTTATTTTCAATAAACTAAACGAAAAACATATTTATGTCTCATCTTTTTGGTTAAATCGATTCTACGTGTTCCTCTTAGAGTAACTTAATCAATGTTTTAACTAGTTAAATTCACTAATTTCGTGGTCCGCTTGACTAATTAATATATTATAATTAATTAAGGTTTTTTAGTTGAGATAAAAAGTCAATGGCACGAGCGGGATTCGAACCCACGATCTTCGGCTACATACGCCGCTGCTCTACCTCTTCAGCTATCGTGACCTCGATCTCTGAAAACTCAAAAGGTGGGGTTGAGATGGGAAGTGGTCCGAGTGGATCGAGGTCACGATAGCTGAAGTGGTAGAGCAGCGGCGTATCTAGCCGAAGATCGTGGGTTCGAATCCCGCTCGTGCCATTGACTTTTTTATCTCAAATAAAAAACCTTAATTAATTGTTTTAACTAGTGCTACTATTATTATGCTTAAAAAAATACAGGGTCATAAATATTTTTTAACATAACTAAGTTTTTATGTGCGTTAAATATAGAAAAATGTATACAAGGTTTTAGTTTCATAGTATGTTTTTTTTCTTCTGGATAATGGATCGAGGTCACGATAGCTCAAGTGGTAAAGCAGCGGCGTATCTAGCTGAAGATAGTGGGTTCGAATCCCGCTTGTGGCACTGACTTTTTTATCTCAACTAAAACCCTTACTTATTTTGAAAGATTATACAGTGACATTATATTGAAATTACATTAAATGTTAATATGTATATAATAAAACCCAAGATAAAGATAACAATAAATGATAATAAAACAAATACCATTTAACTTGTGAGGAGACTCTTTAATCTGAAACTTTCTATACAGAACATAAACACATTTATTTTGTTTTTTAAATGAGCAGAATTTAAGTTTTGTAATAGTATTACGTTCTCTTAGTCTGAATACAAGAAATATTTTGAGCTAAAAGAAGTCATGACAGAGCAGTTAATTAAAAAGTGTATTAAATCATTAGGAACGTGAGAGGTACATAAAGCACATTTTATCCAAATTTAAGTAAAATTTCTTTCTATTAAAAGAAATACTGCAAATATTTTTGTTAGCTAAACAAAGCAATGATTCTTAATTTTTTAATGTTCATATTAATTAATCTTTATGTAAAATATTGGTTGAGATAAAAAAGTCAGTGTCACGGACGGGATTCTAACCCACGACCTTCGGCTAGATACGCCGCTGCTCTACCACTTGAGCTATCGTGAGTTCGATCCACTCGGACACTAACTTCCCATCTCAACCCCACCTTTTGAATTTTCTCTCCTTTTTGCCATTTTTCAAATGTCGTGTAATCTATTTGCTTCTCGGCGACAAATGAAATGGCCACTGAGAGCTTTAGTGAAGATACACTTCATTTTTTCTTAATAAATCTATTAGATTTTGTGGTCCGATTGACCAAATAACCTCTTTCAATTAATTAATCTTATCTCATACAATACCTCACATAAAGATTAATTATTTGAAAAAAGTAATTTGGTCAACCGTACCACGAAATCTAATGGGTTCATATTAATATTACCGAATGATATTAGGGGTTATGCTGACAGTTCAAGACAGACGATGAATCAAGATTTCATAATTTTTCTGAACTAATTTCAACTATTAGACCCGCAATACAAGTTCATGTCCAATAATCGAGAGATAATTTCTGGGATCTTCCACCCTGAAAGAGATTTTATTATTATCTATTAATTCAAATAAATTTAGGTAACATTGCTTGGTCAAGTGATGGTCTGGCATTCTCGAAATTCTCTGCCACCAACCAAGCATTTAAACAATTCAAATTATGAATGGACTCTTCCACATTCTAATCTGACTCACGGGTCGGGAGTGTTCCTTGCGAGATGTAAAATTTATTTATAAAACATTTTGTCCTCTTTCCATTTTGTGTTTTTTAGG